TGGGCAGCCAAGAGGATCTCGGTCGACGAACAACTGGCCTGACAGAAGACGACGGGATCATGTCAGGGTCGCCAGAGAGAGTGGAACAGGCGTAGCGCTCTGGAACAGCTGTGCGAGCGGTCAAACCGGACTCGACTAGAGAATGGATGTCTACAGCAGCGGGCGGCAGACTCAATAGTGCGCTGGAAGCAAGCACCGTGTTCAACGACGCGAAGAATGTGGGTTGCGCGGACGTAGGCAGCAGCAGGCGGGGAACTCATCGGTACGCTGGAAGAAGACATCGTGGTCAGCGACGCGGGGAAGGTGATCTGCGTCATATCAGTCGCGCTCATCCTTAAAGGATTGGAGACTACCGTAGATGTGGCGGTAGTCGACCCCGAGGCGGCAGCGGCTGTTCTAGGGTTCATGGGAACCGGAAAAAAAAAAGAGAAAAAGAGAAATTGTGTAGCTACAAACCTAGAGCTCTTGATACCATGTGAAATAATGGGAAAGTGTACTCCAATAGGAGCCTTGACATATATTTATAATAGAAGAGTTGCCAAAATACAAAGTATTTCTAAATATATATTAGGTAGTTTCCTAAATATATATTAGGCAGGTTTCTAAATATATTAGCTATTAAAGGATGTAATGAGTTCTGAGGGCATCCTCATTGGGAGGATTATTACGAGATTAAATTAGTGACATGACAGTTTTTTTAGAGAATTATCAATGAGTGACATAGATTATTTAATAGGATTATTTGCAACAATAATCTGGGATCAAAATATGAATCCGGATTATTTTAAGATTATTTGAAAAGTATATGTAATAGAGATAAATGCAGGACAGAAAAAAAACAAATTATTTGAAGATGATGATTGAAAGACATAAACGAATTTTGAGATTATTTTATAATTAATTACACAACAATATTTAAATGCTCTGATGTTGTGGGTATAAAACCATAACGTCTTATGTTGTGGCATTTTTGCCATTACAGTACCTCAACAACAATAAATGGCAGTTGATTGTGTAGAAATCGGGTGGAGATAAATCTATTTAAAATTATATGTACTTTCTTCCATGTAATGTTGTTGTATGTACTTACATTGTTGATGTAATGTAATGGCATAAGGATGTAATGGGTCAATCGGTGATGGACAAGAAATAAAATCAACATAAATCTTAGGGATGAAAACAAAAAAATAATTTTGCAGAAATCTAAATCAAAATGTAGTATATTTGCAGAGACTAAAATCATATTTATACCTTAATTTTAGGTGTTTATAATTGATTTTACTTCTCATTCTTTTTTAAAAGGAGAAGTAGAATCAGTATCAATTTTCAGAGTCGGGCTTCCCCAGTTTCTAAAAAACTGCTTCTGGGAGTATTTTGTAGCTCTCGAAAGTACTTATGCACTTTCATACAAATATCTCAATATTTACTTCTACTCTTTGAAGAAGCAGAAGCAGTTTTAAAAAGTACATCCAGTTATCCAAACACCCTCTTACACATCATTTCCTTAAAAACGAAGGGATCATCATTTAGCATGTGGGCTCATGAGCTCGTGGGGGCCACCCCATCTTAGTTACCGAAAAGCCCAGCACAGTCCATAAGGGCCACGGGTCGGCCCAACCCATTATTTGAAGGAGTGGGCATGGGGTAGAGAATTTAAAACCCGGCCAACCCAAATAGCCCGACCCGTCAAGATCCACCCGCCCCAGCCTAATAAGCCCACCTGAGCCCATCCCAAAAGCCCTTTATATACTACTTAATAATTTTATATACTAACTATATAATTAGTAATAACATATATAAAGGTAATGAGTAATACAGATTGAAGAATTAATTTGCTTAAAAGATTGGATATTGTCAAAACTAAGATGCAAGAAAAGGCAATATTGGATAAAAAATGCAAATATGATACTCCCTTTGTCCCATTTTTGTTGTCTTAAAATGGATGTCATGTTTTTTTTCCGGCAAGAAATACGCGACCCCTATTATTTTTCTTTATTCTACTTAAATTTCAACCACAATTTTTACTTTTGAACCACTTTATTAATAACATGCCAAATTAAAACAGGACAATCAATATGGGACATAAGTAGTACATATATTATTGCATCAAGACCATAATGGTAGATTACGGCTGTATAGAACAGAATGAAGTTATGGATGATTATTAGGTTATAAAATTTTATGACAGAGTTTGAGAAGTTTGAACATCTCCATTTTAAGAATGTATTACCAAAAAAATTAAATATAGATAATTTTGAACTTTAATTTTATCATTACACTATTTGGAACAATATATTTTTTTTCCAGTGATTTAATTGACTACGTTGTATTTTGTGATATACTCCCTCCGTCCCAATTTGATAGTCTCATTTTTTTTGGGCACAAGTTTTAATAAAGTAGTTGAAAAGGTAAAAGTTGTGGTTGAGATTTGAAGATAATAAAGTGAAATAATATGGACCACGTCTTTCTTTCCAAAAAGGGAAATAAGACCATCATTTTGGGACATCGCAAAAAGGAAATACATGACCGTCATTTTGGGACGAAGGGAGTACAAGGAATTTAGAGTTTATCTTGTAAGACCATTTGGAGTGGTGAGGTATTAGGAGTCCAAATGACTAAATGTAAAATTTTTAGACTCCTAATTGTGTGTAGTGGTAGTTTAAAATAGGTATTAAAAGTGGAAAAGGGGATGTAGGGGGTTATATACATAGGGTGTGTTGAGAGGAGTGGAAAAAGGGAAAAAGAAAGAAAAAAGGGAGTAGGTAGTAAAATTTTATGAAAAAGGTTGCTTTTGGTGAATCTGATGTCGTGCTGACATCATCGCTGCATCATAATATCTCAATTTTTTAGAAACTTATATAACTTTTTTATTTGTTCTCCATTTTTTTCAAAATATATATCAAAATTCATAGAATTTTATGATCTTTCATATGACACCAATATGTAATATATAAAATGAAACAATAATTCTTAAATTTTAACTGTTGAAGTTTTCTTCAGTCTAAAAAACGATGAAACACAAATTTTTAATTCATGGAATCTTCACAAATAACTGAATATTTCATAATCGAACTTTACTTGAACTAAGTTCATTTTTGTTAACCGAACACATTAAAAAAATTAATGAAATTTATTTATTTTACATCGAAATGTGTAATTTTTATTTCACAATTATTTAGGGAAAATATTAAACGGAAAACATTATTTATAATAAATTAATTATTGTTTTACTAAATTGATATGTAAAAAAGTATGTTGAGTGCATTTTATTGACGGTGCACGGATGCATGGAAAAACAATATTGACGGAATCGAAACTCTGTTTTCATATGGACGAACTCTAAATTTAATAATTTGGACTCCTAACCACTACCAATGGTCTAAGCCCATCTAGACTAAACCCTATTAATGACATGACATGTGGGCCAGCCTGATCCGTCCCCTTAGGCTAACCGCAACCTAGCCCGTCAATAAATCTAATCTCCCACCACTTTATACGTATTCACCCAATCAATTCAGTTTTTTCCTGCAACTCAACATCGTCAATATATTCACTCACCACATACTTTTTTATAATTAAATGCATAAATCCTTACATTTTTTATTTTACATCATTTATGTGACAATTTTATTTTTACCAAATAATTATAATTTAAAAAGTCAAACATTTTGATGTAAAAATAAATAAATTTAGAGTTTAATTTTTTTTTTGTTATTCGAGGCCTATATTTTAAAAACATAACCAAAAGATGTAAAAAAATTATGCATGAGATATTGTTTTTAAAATTTGGATCCACTTAAAGAATAATTTTGAGTCTAAAGATCTTCATTTGATAAAACATCAAATTATTTTCACCTTATATATATATATATATATATATATATATATATATATATATATATATATTATTGGTGTCATATGAAAGATCGTAAAAAGTTATAAATTTTGATATATTATTTATAAAAATTGAATCATTAATAAAAAAGTTATACCATTTTTAAAAAATCTGGGATTTTTATCTTCTATGGAACTCATTTCTTTTCTTTGCTGCGCACCCCATGGAGTCAATCTGGGGTCTATATCCCCACCCCAAAGGGTTTCCACAACCCACTGTAAGATCTTGCTATACTCATTTTGGCTTGGGTTGGAGCTCAATTTGGGGTGAAAACCTCAATTTTGGATTTTCACCCTCTTGCATTGTTGATAGCCTTAGGCTAACCGCAACCCAGTCCGTCAATAAATCTAATTCCCCTTCAGTTTATACGTATTCACTCAGTCAATTTAGTTTTTCTCTACAACCCAGCACCGTCAACATATCCACTCCCAGCACATTTCTTTTAATTAAAAACATAAATCCTTAGTTATTTTATTACACATCATTTATGTGTTGATTTTATTTTGAACAATTTATTGTTCAAAAACTCAAACATTCCGATGTAAAAAAATAAAAATGTGTATTTATTTTTTTGTAAGTATTAAAAATACGTACTTGAGTTCAATTTGAAATAAATTTAAAATTATTAATTGTTTTCTATATTTTAATATTATTAAGTTTTCATTTCATATACTATGAACTTGTTTAACATTAAAAGGTCAAAAATTCTGATATAAAAATAAATAAATTTGGAGTTTAGTTTTTTTATTACTTCAGACTTATTTTGAATAAATAATAGTTGATAGATGTAAAAAAATATTTAACAATGAGATCTTAATTTTAATACTTGAATCTATTTCAAAAAAGTTTTAGATAAAGAACTCTCCAATGGTTGATTTTTTTGTATTGAAATTTATATATGCTATATTTATATCAAATGAAAGGTTATAAAACGTTATGAATTTTGGTATATTTTTTAATAAAATTTAGAGTATAAATACCAAAGTTATAATAGTTTAAATAAAAAGTTAATTTACTTTTTCTTGGTCCCACTTGGTGACTTCCCTTTAGGTGGCTACATCTTTTGCTTTTAAGTTAATTTGGGGTTTTCACCTCATGGGTTGAAGGCAGCCTTAGGGCAGAGTATGGGTAGCGACAGAGTATATAGACGGGCATAGTATAAAAGCGCGGCTCCCCTAGACACATTAATTAAATTATTTATATCGAGCCCAGCTTCATCACGTCCAAACCCATTAGTTTTGGATCCCTAATTCAGCCAACTATCCTCCTGCCATGAGCCTCGTATAGTCGCAGCTCGCGCCCTCCAGTCTGTCCTCCTCCTCCTGGACCTCCTCCACCTTGCAAATTCAGTCACCGTCGCCTGTCACCCGCCGTCTCTCCAGCCTTTAGCCTCGCGGGTTCCAATCGCGACTGGCTCCAGCCTCCAGGCTCGAGCCCTCCAGAATCCACGGATAACTGCTCCACCTGTCCACCAGGCACTAGCACACCGCCTCCACGCCTCCACAGCAGCACAGCTCCACTCCTAGTTAGCCTTCTCCTTCACAATTTACAAATTCACAACCTCTTTTATTTAAAACTGGTATGAAATTCACATACTCCGTATTTATTTTGCAATACCTACGGTATTGCTTGCGGTTAAGTGAGTATTAAATTTGACAAAATATTGAGGGATATGTTGTTAGGTTTAGTAGATCTACTGGATTATGATATTTTATTCAAATTGAATGTCTTTATGTCGGTAATACGTAGTATAATTTAGGGAAACTTATCGAAAAGAAACATGTGGTTGGATCCGTTTTTAGATAGGTTCACATGTTTCTTTTTTTAAAAAAGTGGTTCATCTTGTTTGAACTTCTCTATTATAAGAGAGTCCTAGCGCCCGCTATTAGAAATTGCTAGAGAAAGACGATGAACAGTAACTTCAATTTTCAAAAATGATTTGAAAATTAAAAAGAAAAATATCAGGAGGTGTGCTTTGCCATCAGAAAGTACACCAGAAAAGTGATATTTGTGAATTCATTTTCAAAAATTAATTCATACAAATCCAAAGACGAAAGGTGGTTTGGAGGTCATCTTGACGAGACACACCTTCCAGTATTTTTCTTTTAATTTTCTGGGCACTTTTAAAAAATTGGAGTTATTGTGCATCGTTTTCCTTAGACATTTTTAACGGCGTTAAGACCATCTTGTAATAACGGAGTTCAAAGATATGAACCACTTTGATAAAAAAGGAAACACATGACCTTATCCGAAAATGTGTTCAACCACATGTACCTATAAATTATTTTCATATTTTGTTCATCTCATTGGTGTTTTAGTCAATCTATTTAATTTATGACTATTAGTATTTAATTTAGTAATGATGACAATATAGATTATTTTCAGAAAAACATGATATTAGGAAAAATCAGTTGTACTATTTTTTTTTTATATTTTAATACTATTAATATAGTATGCCTTTCTTTTATAAATGTCGCAATTTTCTATTGACAGACACATTTGTAGAATTATTGCATCACATGAATTTTACTCTTCTTATATTTAGTTTTGAAGTAAGCTCGAACTCTAAAAGTACCAGATCTGCGACTGATAGTGATAGAGGTAAATGGGTTAGATTTTCATATATAAAATATATTAATTATATGTGTGTGTCTGGATATTGATAGGGGATGCCCATGGCAAGTAGACCATATTCTCTGATGCATGGTATAGTGGACACTCAGTTGCCGGAAAATTTAGAAAAATTGAAACATAAAGGAACATTGCATATATCTATCTCTGGGGTGCTCTCTCAAAATTACATTAAAGTAGAAACTTAGAAAGGAGAACAAGAATATGACCTTGACTCTATTCGTGGTAGGAAAGCACTATTTGAAGGTGAGGTCATAAGAATACTTAAACACTAATCATTGACCGGATCGGACATTGACCGTCGAGTCGTTTATGGGACTGGCTCGAGACCACCTGGTTGTTGGTCGGACCGAACACAGACCGTCGAGTCATTTGCTAATAGGATGGGGACCGCCGGATCATTGATGGGATAGGATGGGGACCACCGGGTGGTTGACCTGACAAGATGGAGACCGCTGATTCATTGACCAGACCGGACGGGGACCGTCGAGTCATTGACCGGACCGGATGGGGACCGCCAAATCATTTACTAGACCGGATTAGACCGGGACTGTCCGGCCGTCGATCGAAACGAACAAGTGGCGCCTGGTCGTGGATCGGACCGGACAAGATAAGGACCGTCAGGTCATTGACCAGACCAGATAGGGGCCGCTGGATCGTGGACCGGACCGGACAGGGACTGTCGGGTTGCCGACCAGATTGAGACCGTCGGGTCATCGATCGGATTGGACGGAATTGCTCGGCCATCGACCGGACCAGGCATGGACCGCCGGGTCAATGACCAGACTGGACCGCCAGGTCATTAATCGGACCAAATAGGGACCCTCGGGTCGTTGACCGGACTGGACTGGAACTGACACTGGAGCCTGACCGGATCCAACACTAGACGTAAGTATGCAAATTCATTACATCGGTACTGCAGTATCCGCGTTTTTCAAATTTGGAAAACTAGTAAAAGTCAATTCTCTAATTTATTAAGGAAAACAGAGACATATCTCATTTTTTGATTTTGGAAAACGATTTGGTAAACACAATTTTCTGTTTTTCGTTCTCTAGTTTTCTAGAATTTAAGATACATGAGAGACATAAGTGTGTAAGCAAATATTAGGATTTACAATATGAATCTAAAATAATTAGAACAATTACTAAATACAATTCACAAACTCATTGTTTATTTATATTAAGATATAGTTAGTAGAATGCAATCGATTTATTCGATTTGGTTTTTCTAAAGAGAGCCTAAGAGAATACCCAATATAATGGATGAATGCATTTTATGTGGTCCACCCACGATAGCATATGAGAGGGTTATAGAGAAAATAGTTGTAGTTTAATCAAAATGGAGAGAAATATATAAAAATTATAGAAACGATTTATGATAGATCTTGTGACTACACCTATTTGTGGAATTTGTACCGTAATCGATGGGTAGAATTGAAGTTTGAAAATAAAATTAAAATAAAGTGGGAAAAATATGAGTCCTACATACAAGAACTATGTTATCAAAACTAGGTTCTATGTACGAGACGACACCAATTAGAAATTAGATCCCATGAGTCAGATCTCTTAACTTTTGACACAATTTTATTTCAACTCTTTAAACAAGGATCTATACGATAGTTAGTTAAATACGGTACGGGAATTAAACGTGGTTTAATACGTACGTGTTTTATTCGGTAACTTGAACAAAAATTGGGTCAAAAATTCGGCAAAAAATACGTTGACTTTTATAAAACGTGTAAATACGTATACGTGTATAATACGACATCTCTTAGAAAAATTCGGGTTAAAAATACGGGTCTCATTTTGAATGGTTAAATTATTGTACAAAAGTTTACTAATCCACATAAAATAATTGGGAAAGTGTAATCGGAAGCACTCAAGTACTGAAAAGGCAGATTTGGAAGTTGTCCTCATTGTGGGCATGTGTTGACTCTACGTCCACAAAATTAGCGGCGGATGTTAAATGTGCATGACCTTCTCGCTCCAGAAGTAATTCGAAAATTAAAATTCTAGCGGTCTGTCAGTCCTGTGGCTTGGAGGGCTGGGGCAGCAGTGCTAAACCCCTATTAGAGTATTTTGATCCCGATGGAGTTCAATTCCAACTGCAAGACCTAATTTACGAGAAATAAAATATTTTAGCAACATAAGACATTATAATTTGAGAGACAGATCCCTTTTGGGGTAAGTACAGATAAATTTTATAGACATCAAGCTACAGTAGCCTAAAGAGACATAGAGTTATGCTAGAGGTACAAAAACTTTTACAAAAACTCTTACAAAAAAAAGTATGTGGCATCATCACAATATTTAACACATCACATTTACGACACCTTCCAAGTGTAGCTCCGCATTTAATGCTCCTTTATCTCATATCTCAACTTCCAAGTCTGCCTTTTCAGTAATCAAGTCCTTCCATTTACACTTCCCATTTACACCTTGCGGCATTGCTGTTTTGAATAAAATGGGCCCTTTATCCTTCGATCAAACCTTTTGTCACTCTAGTCAATCGTTCAAATCTGCGTTCGCAGTTGCAAATTGAAGAAGAAAGGTCTCAGCGTTGCATTTCCTTCATTTTCCCGTTTCATTTTCTTGTCTTCGTCTAAATGTAAATCAATGTAAATCAGAATAAACAAACTCAATGTATTAAAAACCCCACTAAAACATATAAAAGAGAAAAATATATTGCATAAAAAGTGCATGAATAAAAAAATATTACAAAAAAGTGTATGGATATAAAAAAAATAGTATATAAATATACATTCGTATTTTATGTTGATTAGTAAAATTTTGTGATTAGTTGATAAAGAAAAATGTAAATTCAAATGTAATTTAATTATTTAAATATAAAGAAAAATAAATCGAAATTAATTTTTTAGTATTTTAATGGTGAAAGAGAAAAGAATTAAGGAAAAGAAAAGTAACGAAACTTTCACAGTGAGAATAATTTTTTTTTGTTCCAATAGTGCCTTATTTGGGACGGGTATACATGCCCATGATATAACTATCCAATCTTAAATTTGCGTGAGTGACTGATATTTTGGGCCGATAGGTTTCCTAATTCCTTAATTTATCTCATTTCACCTTTTCTGAAAGAATTGAAATAATTAGAAAGTAGGACTCTTCCGCTTAGACGGTTAGATCTATTCCAATTAGAATGTAGAGGCAATGGCCGATCAAGTGGCCTGCCAATATAGAGAGAGACCGGTCAAGTAGCCTGCATTTGAAGCTGCCACGGCGATCCATCGGAGAGCCAAATAGATTCTGGACTTTGAGGTAATGAGACTCACCTTACTGACTCACGTGGTCACGGACTGAAATAGCCAGCGAAGGAAAACTGAAAAAAGTCATTCATGCCTCACGCCATCAGTCCCTCACAGATCGGTAGCTGCATAAGAACTAATAACGGCGTATAGATGGATACTAAACGGTAATCAATTCTTCTGCAGCTACCGATATGTGAGGGATTGATGGCGTGAGTGACTTTTTTCTGTTATCCTTCGCCGGCCGTCCGAGTTTGTGAGGTGTGACCATGTGAGTAAGGTGAGTCTCACTGCATCAAAGTCCACAATCTATCCGACTATTCCAAGTGCGCCGCGATAGGCCACTTGGTCGGTCTCTCTTTATGTTGGAAGTTCGCGAGCCACAACCAGTGATAGTGAAGTGTCCCCGACCTCTGCGTTCTAATTGGATTAAATCTAATAGTCTAAACAGAAGAGTCTTGCTTTCTAACCATTTCAAATTTTTCGAAAGACATAATGAGATAAATTAAGTGATTAGGACAACTATCGGCCTAATATATCAGCCACTAATGCAAATTTAATGTTGGACGATTATATCATGCGCTTGTCTACCCGTCCCAAATACTACCTCCGTCCCATAAAATTCTTCCCACTTTGAATTGGCTCGGAGATTAAGAAAATGGAATAAAGTGGAAATGTATGGTTGTGGTTGTGTAAGAAAAATGTGAAATGAATGTGAACCACACAAATTGTTCAAAAATGGTAAGTGGGAAGAATTTTTTGGACGGCCCAAAGAGGAAAGTGGGAAGAATTTTATGGGACGGAGGGTGTTCGACACTATGGAAATAAATCTTTTGGGATCTTTTCTTTTGGACTTTTTTCAAACTCAGATCAGATCAGACTTCCGTAGTTATAAAATACACAGAGACCAGACTAGACCAGCAAATTTCAATCCAAAAGGAAAACATCCTTGATTCTCATACTGCACTATGAAAGTTTCTTTTTCCTTCAATTTTATGATTTTATCTTCTTTACATTTCTTTTCTCTTTCTCCATTAAAATACTAAAAAATTAATTGCGATTTATTTTTCTTTATATTTAACTAATTAAATTACATTTGAATTTACCTTTTTATATATGAACTAATCACAAAATTTTACTAATCCACATAAAATAAATATTTATACACTATTTTTTTATATCCATTCACTTTTTCTGTAATATATTTTTCTCTTTTACTCCCTCCGTCCCTTAAAACTTTGCCATCTTTCATTTTTTGGACGTCCCAAAAAATTTTGCCACTTTCCCTTTTAATCAATTATTTTGTGGTTTCTATTATTTCTCTCTCCTCTCATAAATCTCAACCACACAGTTTTTACTTTATTATTCTTCGTGCCGGTCAACTTTGACAAAGTTTAAAGGGATGGAGGTAGTATATGCTTTTAGCGGCTTATATGAATTGCCCTACATACATACATACATATGCGGGTAAATGGATGGAGCGAGTGATGGGTCTAGAGCTGGCAATATCACCTGCACCCGCGGTTACCCAGTCAATCCGAACCGAAAATATGGACGAAAACTCGAAGAAGTATGGATGAAAAATGGATGATGGGTGGATTGAAAGACGGGTTGGATCGGGTGTGGATGAACACTCATCCAACCCATAACCTGACCCGTCACCCGTTCTATCCACCCGTACCCGCATATATATATATATATATATATATATATATATATATATATTATGATATCTATTTAAATATATATATATATATATTAATAATAATAGTTAATTAATATTAATATATTAATAGATATGTTATATGGAGTAGCATTGTAGCGACTAAAATAGGAGTCCTGCTCAGCCGTATCATCACCTCACCCGTCACCCGTTCCATACTTAATTGCTCAAGTTTTTGTTGTTATTTTTCAATGAATTCTTAATTTTTGTCATGATTTCTCTTCATAATTTATTTATTTTGTTTTTCAAGTTTGACTATTTATATTCACCCGTTACTCACCCGATACACCCGATAACCCATTCATGATGGATGAGTTGGATGTGGATGTAATTTTTAATAGATGATGGACAAGTGGGTGGACTACGAAAAATTAACGGGTGAACGACGGATGAGCTTTCACTTGGTATAAATCTGACCCGCTGCCACCCCTAGATGGGTCAGATGGGGTTGATGAGTGTTCATTCACCTGTTATCTATTTTTCATCCATACTTTTTTGGGTTTTTGTCCACATCTTCGGTTCCTATTGACGAGTATCCACGGATTCGGATAGTAATACCCGCCCTTGATGGAGATAGTATGGCTTACCTAATTATGTATTACAACTTTGTACTCTTATACAATTATTGGTTTGTAGTGGTAGATTAGTGATTGTTTAATTGACGTCTAAAATCAGGACATTGTGAATGTGTTGACACTGAATTGCTCGGTTATGTATTTTATTTTTAAAAAAAATTATTGTATTATTAAAAATTTGTGTTTTAGCTTTCACTTAAACCTCATTCAAAAAAAAAGCTTTTACTATTAACTTGTTTGTTATGAAATTGTGATTATTTGTTAAAAAAGTAGTTTAGTCGTTACTATGTGAGGCCGTGAGGGATGATATACGAATAGGATCAAATTCTTGGCCCTTTATTAATTAAACTCAAAATCATAAATGCTTCAAACTAGTAACATATTAGTGTTATAGTTCCTAAATATGAATAAAATATAATAATCCTAATAATGAATTAGTCACAAATCATAAGCATTCTAACTTTCAAGAAAATCAAATCACCTAATAATACTTACTTCTGAACTTTTATCCTAGAGATCTAAACTAATATTCATTGGGTTCAAGTTTGTCATTTTCTTCTTCGTCCCCATGTCCCCAAATCTAGGATGACTTTGTAATCTAATATTTTCAATTTTTAAAATGTCTACTAATTATTCATAAGTTCCATAATATTCCAATTTAGTTTAATATTTTTAGATTGAACTCAAAAAATCAATTTACGAGCGCCCGAATAACTCATCGAGCCAACCTTGTCAAGGCCTTACCCCGAGTTATTCAAAAATGGAACAACGCAAGTCGAAGTACTAATCAGCAAGGCACTTCGAGTAGCGAGTACTCAGCCACGACTTGGCGGTTCGATAGCATAGATTATGTGTTAATGTAAAAAATTGTTATTCTCTAAAATAGTAGAAACTTTATTAAATCTGTAAACTTATTAATTTCAAGGCGTCGTAAATAAGGTTAAATTATAACCAGACAGGACTTGCCATGACAAGTAAAAAGTAGTGTTCTCATGAAAATTGGAAATAAATATTAGCCTGTAATCACTTGAGAGTTGAGACTGTAATCATAGCACATTGCGGCAAAATAACAAATGTTTATAATACAAAGTTGATTGTTTATAGCAAGGTTTGAAATTGCGTATTGCGTAGTCGTGACGTTTTGTTATTATTGCATATTGCATAAGCCTCATTGCACCCTGAGGCGTAAATATATATATGTATATATATATATATATTTGTGTGTGTGTGTGTATAAGTATTTATAAATACAATTAATAAAAAATAAATTTTTAAAAATAAATTTAATCATAGTAAAATAATAGGAAAATTCAAACCTTAGATGACTACCCAAAAAGTTTACAGAAAAAACATACTACCTCCGTCCCATTAGAAGGTTCCCGTCCACTATTTGCATGGTCAACTTAAATCATTTTTAATCGTTTACTTTATAAATCAAATTTTTATCAAATTTACATTTTTTTATCTGTCTTTGTAGTGGTTTAATGTAGTTTCTGAATATATTAATTTTATTTACTAAAACTAATCAGAGTATGTACAGGGATTAAGTTGCTTTATCGTCAGTCAAGCATCGTAAACCGTTCACGGGAACCTTCTAGCGGGACGGAGGGAGTACTAATATGAAGAAACTTAACAGATGGAAAATAAGAAAATATTAATATGTAGAAAACATTAAAAGTTCAAAAGTATTAACATTATTATTACCACTAAATTATACTACCTCCGTCCCATAATACTTGGCCAACTTTCCTTTTTTGGCCGTCCCAAAATACTTTGTCATTTCCATTTAAAGTAACAAATATGTGGCTAAAGTTATTTCTCTCTCCTCTGCACCAATATCAACCACACAGTTTTTACTTTATTAATCTACGTGCAAGTCAACATTGGCTAAGTATTATGGGACGGAGGGAGTATATAACTCTAAATATTAAATTAATATTAAAGTTGAATTTAACATTAAATATAAAATCTGAAAGAAAATACTAATATACAGAAACAAAATTGATGCAAAATAATAAAATATTAATGTGAAGAAAATATTAAAAGTTGAAGAATTTTAACATAAGCAGAAGCGGAGGAGGTTCTTAGGAGGAGGCACTGTATCGTTAAAATATTAAATGTTGAAGCAAATAAAAAAAGCTTTAGAGGAGATAGTACCATAGAAGAGGAGGCGATAGTTGCTGAGAACGGCACAATGAAAAAAATATGAAGTACGTGTATATGTTACGAATAAGGGAGGCTTCTGTTAAGTCTTTTGCGCAGCAAACATAATATAGCGTACGCCTCTAGACGCCTCATTGCGCAGGTGAAATTGCGTACGCCCCAAGGCCCAAGCCCATCCGCCTTATGTGATGCAATCTTACGCAATTTTCTTGGAAGTATTTGTGGCGCACCTACATAGTATATTAGTATTATTTATAATCTAATACACTTGTTTGCTCTACATATCTATTTTTCATATATTCTGATCCACATTTGTTATAGTATTATCATGGAAAGTTCTTTGTAATTTTCATAATATCAATGTTTTTTTTTTAATTTGATCTTTTTCATCCATTTTTCACATCAATGATCGAGATTATTTTTTATTTTTCAAGAAGTTTTATTTGAATCAAATTGTATATATGTGCGCACGCGTGCATGTATAGAAATACTTGTGGGCATGTGCTTAGTTTTTTACTTGATGTTTTACATTTGGACGTGTGTCTCAGGCATGACTTTTGAGATTAAGCCAATGAAGAAATGCACTAAGAGCCACCATAGGAGTGAAGAGCTTTGCTCCATAACTAGGTTGCCTTGTGAGGTTCTCAAGGACATAATCTCGAGGCTGCCCATCAAATCTATAGTTCAATCGAAGTGTGTGAGTCGATCTTGGAAGCTACAATTTAATGATCCACATGTTTTTCAAATGCACATTTCAAGATGTCCAGGTTTTAAATTTTTCTTCTTTCAGCAATATAATGGAAATGAGCTTTCATTTATTGAATTCAATAATGAAAATTTTGATGATGTCAATGTGGGAACTGTGAGGAAAATTGATTCCATGCCACTAAGCATAAAACCATCGATAATTGAAAATAACACATGGAGAATAATGATATTGGCTTCAAGTAATGGACTTCTATGCTTACAAGATTACGATGCTATTACCGATTGGACTTGTGTATACAGTCCTTTTACAAGAGATTATAAACTTGTACCGAAGTTAGATTCCAAATTTTCTCCTTCAGCATATGGATTTGGATACCATCGAATCACTGGAGAGTACAAAATAGTTAGAATAGGTGTATATTCTGGGGAGGGGGATAAAAATTTAGAGGTCCAATCAGAGGTCCACGTGTACACTTTGAGCAAGGATGAATGGAGATACATAGGGAGGGTGCCAGATGAACAACTTGGTGATATGCATGGAGATGGAGTTTTGTTTTGTGGGAGACTATATTGGCCAAGAGCGCGTTCCTTTTCCGGATTAATGTATTATGACCTCGCCGATGATTCATTGGGAAGTGTCCCAATGCTTGCAGAGACTATTTTGAAAGATGTTCAGGATTATGAACTTGTTGTGTTAGGGGATTGTCTATCGGTGGCGGTGACAAAATATCATGATCTGACCGAGTGGATTCAGATTTGGGTAATGAAAGAATATGGGTGTTGGGTTAAGAGGTATACTTTATTGTGGGATGCATTTAAAAATTTAGACCCTGAATGGGAAGAGTGGGAACGTTTACATGTAATAGGCCTTGTGGGCAGTGGAGAAATCGTGCTAGAATACGCATCGCGAATGATGGTATCTTACCATTGTGATACTCACATTTGCAAGAAAATCACTTTTGGAGGATCATTCTTGCCCACCTCATGGATCAAGATATCGTTGGATGATTCTTCACGCTAGCTTTGTTTTTCTATTCTGAAAGTTTAGTTTCCATGTTCACTTTAATCAACTACTAGTGTCGTGCCCATGCGATGCACGGGAAAATTGTTGATTCTTTATACATGTTTCTTGTAATTTTAGAAATAAGAGTGATATACAAATTATCACATCATCTATCTTGTTGAATTTGAGATTATAGGATGGCGTTGGGTGAATTTTTTATTGATCATTCATAAAAAATAATTTCTTGCTTGATTTGTTTTGATTTAGATAATTAGATGTGACAAGTCCATGAGGCTATTGATGAGACTATTTTATATATTTCTTCTTTATAAATTTTTTCTGCTAGAGTTATAATTATCTCTGTTACAACTCTCACATTATTATTCATATTAATTAAATTTAGTTAAATGTATGTTAAACCTTATTATAAACTTAAAATATAAAAAGGATACAAAAAGATTTAGTTCTATTTTATTAAAATATTAAACATTGATAGGAAATATATAATTTGAAATATTAATTTAGTTTTGTTACATTCGAAAATTTGGAATAGACTATTACACAATTTTAATGCTTAAAACTTAAAAGTAAAAAACACTCAAATATTCCCTTTTCTTTCTTTGCAACTATGCCTCTCTCCAAATCCGAGCAAACACCTTTTTTGACCAATGAACTTATAAATTCACAAATCACTTGCACAAATCATTGTCCTTTCCTGTAGGCATGTACGGATGTACCGATCGAATCCACGTACTCTTTGAATGCTCATTCCTTTCTTTGCAACTATTCTTCTCTCTAGATCCGTGCGTGTACCACCGTCCCCGAATTATATTTACTTCTTAGTGATATTGTATTAGACACTATGGAATGATCAATGAATTTATGAAGTTGAAAATTTTTATTAATTCCTTCGCGTCAATAGTAAATTGCACGTGGGACCCACATCGGGGCGGGGATCATCCAACATTTCTGAGACCACATAATTTATTCATCTTGGTAAAGATTATATTTATATGGTGGTGATTATTTTATTTGGATCGTGGAAAGGCCCAGAGTTGACCGATTGGGCAAAAGAGACCCAAATACCGGTACCGATAATTTAACAGATAACAGTCCGGAAATGAATTTCAGAGACTTCTAAATTAATATTTTGGAATACATATTATTTCAAGAGGCCATTACGATTGGGAACACGTAATATATTTTATTTGACCCGAAAAAATAAAATATAATTAAAATAATCTGAAAAATACAACTTTCGGGATCAATCGACACCTCGGGAGTTAAAGGGTTGACCTCCTACATGTGTGGGAGCCAACCCACGATTTTTGGACACAAGAATCAATGAATTGGGCGGCTGAAATTAGAAGAAGGGGATGGGAGAGATTGGTTTGATTGAGAAGGCTTCTAAAAGACATGAGGTGGACCTCTCATCCACACTCATTGGTCCTATCTCCTATGAGACAAAACCACTCTCATCACTCCCTCCCCCTATCAAGCTCGACCAAGACCAAAAGAAGGAGAGAAAAAGAAGCTCTAAGTCCATCTTCCATTGCTGCAAATCAAACTCAAGCAAGGTTGTTCCAAGGGGGGAGATTAAGAAGGAAAAAGTGAGGGAAAAGTGTGAATAATTAAGGAGCTTAACTAAGGTGTTTCTAGAGTTCGCTGGAGTTTCGCCGGAGTTCAACCGAGAAGCGTAGAACACGCTATAGCTCATTTAAGGTGAGTGCACGACTTAATATCTTATAACTTTTGGGTTAATTATGAGATTACCTAAATAAATGTTATATGTATTCATAATGATGTTTAAAGGATGTTTAAACATGTGATTAGCCAAAATGATTAGGCTTGTATGAAATGAATTATTTGAATATACATGGAGTATGATGCGAGAATTTATATGAAATTACATGCCATGGATTAAAGGGTAAAGGAAGCCTAGAATGAATATTATTGACTAATATACATGACGATTGAGTTGAGATGTACAAGGTTTGAAATGACGGCCAATGAAAACGTTGACCGATGGGTAATGGATTAATTAATACTGGTTGGTATTAGTTAATCACAAACTTATATAAACGCATGACTTGCATGAGTAGAGATACATAAGCTTTATGGATTGATTTAGCTATGAATGAAAAAATATAATATACTCTATCTAGGCTGATAGGAGCTCATCATAGGATTATATATTGGTGGAGGACCCTAGAACTTAAAGTTCTTAACACTCAAATTATATATTGGTGGAGGACCCTAGAACTTAAAGTTCTTAACACTCAAATTTTATATTAGTGGAGGACCCTAGAACTTAAAGTTCTTAACACTCAAATTATAAATTGGTGGAGGACCCTAGGACTTAAAGTTCTTAACACTCGGATTATCAATTGGTGGAGGACCCTAGGACTTAAAGTCCTTAACACTCGGATTATCAATTGGTGGAGGACCCTAGGACTTAAAGTCCTTAACACTCGGATAATAAATTGGTGGAGGACCCTAGGACTAAAAGTCCTTACCACTCAAATACAAATTGGTGGAGTACCGAAGGATTATGATCCTCAAAACTCATAGATTATGATATTGAAGTATGGACAAGGAGGAGTCCTATACACTCATAGGCATATGGGTGGGTTGAGATTTTTTTAGTCAAGGATATTGACTATTAATATTTTCCCAAATAAAACGGTGATCTACGGATCGGGTATTTTCCAAGTATTCATTAACATGGGGGGAAGACTATTTATATAAATATCACCCTATGTTTGGGTCTTATACTTGAAACGCTAGTTATTCTATATTTAGCCTATTACTTGCCCGGTACTTGTACTGATCCCTTCGGGGGGGGGGGGGGGGGGGCACCATTTCAGGTTGAAGTTAAGGCTTGTCATCTACACCTTTGCACGGGTGAAGAGAATCCAGAGGAAGACGTGGTTCGTGCTCCCTCTACTATTTCAAAAGATAAACTATGCTCATGGATACTTTTGTATTAATACATTGTTTTGGCCTGCGAGCCTACGTTTTGGCCATGTGTGGCCCACGATTGATTATTGAATATTTCCGCTATTCAACTAATCTAAACTGTGATGTTGTTGTGTATGTTTACTACTGAGTATGGATATATATTATGTTCATGGACGCCTTGTAATGATTAAGACACGTTGACTTGCGAGTGGCGTTACTTGGTCATACGGTGGTTGTACACGCGCCTAGATGCGGTCTGGGGCGTGACAATTAAGTGGTATCAGAGCCATCTCAGTTCCATACTATGTAATCAACCTCTCACAAGGGATTTTGCAAAAAGGGAATTTTTACCGAAAACTATGAGCATTGTATTTTAACGCTCATAGAACTATTGTTACCCAGGTTGCAATGTCTCTAATTGTTAAGATGGTACCCTTAACAATTGGTATGGCGGTGACTTGGGTCAATACGTGTCTATAACGTTCTTCCGTCAATTGACATTGATAGAAGTCTAACGACTCGTTCAAATCTCATTTCAGAAATGGAGGGTAGGCGAATGGCAACGAGGAACAATCCGAGGGGGCAGGCACCGGTGACATCCATGAGGGGTAGCCGGGCTGCATCTCGGGGGAGAAGAGGAGGCTGAGTAGGTCGTGGGGGCCACCGGGCCCAAACGGTGAGCGATGGCCACGTGAGCTCGGTGTATGAAACTAACACTGAGGACTATGACTCGACTTTTGTTCCCGGCACGGAGCATGAGGAGACCCCGTATGACGGGGGTGACTTCCACACTGAGGAGGAAGACAATGATGAGAGTGATGCCCGATTCGCTCAAATGGGTGAATTGCTTGAGTTGTGCCAAAAAGAGAAACTAAGGACAAACCTTAGACGCCAAGCAAGGCACGACTCTCATGGTAGTTCGAGTCAAGGAAGCCGGGGAGCTTCACGGGCCACTCCAGCGGCGTTACAAGGTGGGTGTGAAGGAGGGTTTTGTGTGAGAATCTCCGAGTACCTCAAGGAGGCTAGAGCCTTGGGGTGTAAATCCTTCGACGGCACCGGCGACATTACCGTTGTCGCCGATTGGATCAAGAAAGTGAAGGATGCATCAAGGGATATGCAGGTCACACCCGACGTGAAGTTGACTGTTGCTTCACGTTTGCTTGAAGGAATCGCTTCTACATGGTGGGAGAGTGTAGAAGGAAAGTACCGGGGGCCATCACATGGGCGAACTTCGAGCAGGAGTTCTACGCCCAATACTACTCCGACTACGAGGTTAATGTCAAGCGTAGGAGGTACACCAACCTTAAACAGAAGGAGGGGTGGTTCTGTCATGCAATTGGAGCAAGATTTTAGAACCTTGGCTAGGTTCTTGCCGGAATACGCGGTCGATAAGGACCGCATGTCGGAACACTTTTGGGATGCCTTACTCCTGGACATCCGTGACCAAGCTATGTACTCCCGTCATATGACGTTTAGCGAGGTGGTGGAACAGGGCCTATTTGGGAGCCTCAGTGGAATGAGAGGAAAGAAAGAGACGCCGAAGAGGCGAAAAAGAGAAAGTGGCATAGTTCGGGGCTGCCCGAGCAATCACGAAAGAATAACCACGGTGTAGGTAGTGGTTCGTTCAAGACGCCGGAACCACCGGCAAAGAAGAACAGGGATGCTCGGTGGCACTCATCCTCCTCTCGAAATACGGGACCTCCTAGGTGTGCCAACTGTTCGAAGAATCACTTCGGGAAGTGCAACGCACCCCCGAGGTGTTATCAGTGCGGGATCACAGGCCACATGAAGGCTAATTGCCCACAATTGGGGGGAGAGGAGCTCCCGGGTCCGGAGGAAGTGCTTTGACGAGTAGAAACCGTACAGGGCCGTCAAACGGCGGCACGGGAAGAGGTGGTGCATCAACGAGCCATGCTACGTCCGTTAACCAAGGCGGGGCCCAAGCAAGGGTCTACGCGATTACCGAGGCCGATGCTCGGGCCAACCCCGATTCCGTTGCAGGTAATCCCTTGCTAATGCTTGATAAAATACGTGTATTAATGTGTTAGAAGTGATAACGGGATTGTACGGGCCGGTTGGTGACTTTGCCGGTCGGTTTCTAAGTAAAAGGAGCAAGAAAGAGGGGAAGGGGCTGCCCAGGGCTCAACCGGCGCCGCTCCCCGGCCAACCGGCACCGGTCGTAGCATCCAAATCGCTACTGGCACCCACGCACACGTGTGTGCATCCCTCATTTTTGGGCCAACCGGCGCCATTCGTTGCGTTAAAACACTCTGTTACCCTACTGCCACCCACGCACGCGTGCATGGGAAGGGACGCACACGTGTGTACCCCATTTCCGACAA